GATCGATAGTTTTGCTGATTCAATATGTACATATGTAGAGCCAGTTGTTCTTGTAGAGTTTTTAATTTGATCAAATGCATTACATATTAATGTATTTTCTTCTGCTTTATTTGGGGTACCCACGTCGAAAACACCTAATTTTTCAAATACAGTATCAATTTCATCTGCACATAATAGCACGTCGCCTTTTGTAAAATGTTTTCTCAACGATAAACTATTCAAATTAGTCACGATTGATCTCGTCGCTTGTGTGTTTTTGCCTATATCTAAATCTCTAATATATGATGATGGAAACATATTTTCGACTTTATATGCAGCTTTCATCCATTTATTTATATTTGTTGTTTTCATTGAACCTAAGTAGGAACAAAACGTACAAAGTATTTTCTTGGCACTGTCAGATCAAATAAGATAAAATCTATTACCTGTTGGTCCAACTATAACCGAATAGACATTAAATGGTTTGTATCCAAATAGATGTTCATAATAACTTTGATTTGAAAAATGGGATAGTAATGGAAATAAACCGAAAAATAATGTTTCAGGCGTTCCGCCTTGCGAATGTTCATACTGACTAAATACTGCTAATTCGTTGTTCGACAGAATTTTTGATAAATCAAATGTGCTGGCTGCAGCTTTATCGATATTTTTGTTGAGTAAATGGCCAAACTCGTTTAGCGAACTTTGTGTTTTTGTCATTGTGGCATAGGCTAAAAACAATAAAACGAAGAAAAGACATTGTACGGACATTAACTCAACGCGACAATCGTATGTTCACGAAGCACATAAAATAGTGTAATAATTTTACTTATAGGCAGTATAAGTAAGCCGTGTGGTGAGCTACCAGTACACCTCTATACAGAGATTTGAAATAGCTTTATACTTCAGATAGCAGTGAAATAAAGTCATTAGATGCATAGACTTTGACACTGATCACATAAAACAGACAGAAACTAATGCTCAAGCACAAAATTCAATTTCACGAAGTTTTAAATGCACTATTTTTGAGTATCGAGATTGATGACAAGTTTCTTTGAACCTGGGGACATGTTCAGAAAGGTTGTTCAAGATAAAGTCATGAAGATTTTTAAACGTTTGACATTTCACTATTTAAAATCTGTCTTGGATAAAGCGCAAATAGCTTGAAGCACAAGTCGAGCACAAATAGGGGTGACTAAATACTTAAATCTATGGAAGTAAGACGTTAGAACTGCGTATCGGGCAAAAAATTCGTTTTAAAGAATAGTGTAACTTCGTCAAGACATCCCATCTTGAATTGCTTTTCACACTTGAGACTGCTTCTACAGGCTAAGACAGAAAAACGCAAAAAAATCTGCTTTTTCCTGAAAATTTCAATCTGAAATCATAAAGCTGATGAAAACCACCCGTAAACAGGACAGTTTACGCAAAGTCAGTGCAATAACCGTGAAATTTGCCAATTTAAACATATTTTAGCTGTTTCTGCATACAAAACAAGTTTAGAGTTGATTCATGTTTGCTAAGTGCAGCGTCGACGAGGAAAACTTATCATAAAGAGACAGAAAATCTGATCAGGAACCTCTTATACGTGTAGCAATTCTTCGTTCCTCTACAAACTGGTCACCTCCAAGTGGTATTGCAGTGAGTATGATGTGAATGACAGTGGCAGGGAGGTGATCCATTTGTAGAAGCACCCAGTTCTTTCACACTTTAATCTGACTCAAAAGAGCTTCAGGGTTAATGCGCGAAAAACAGTGTTCTAGAACATTAAATGAAAACATCACACAGCGTACTCGCTTTCAACATAGAATATCAAAACTCTTTTTTTAATTTATTTTGTCATTCACTAGTCGTTATTCTAATGCATACTGAAGACTTTTCTGCCTATAATCTATGCGGAATAAATGGCGGGTGGTCTTTTCTGGACCGTCCAATCAAAAAGCACTGATCACATCACAAGCAACACTAAAGTACGACAGTACAGATATCCAAATACATCAGGCGAAATGTCGACTGATAGAAAGAAAAACCGATGTGAGCAGATGTTTTCCAAAAACGACACAGAAGTCGCCATAAATCAGTACATAAACGCCCTCCAAACTGGATTTCATTCTTTGAATCCTGGAATCCTGAAATCCTAGACTCAAAAGTACACTACTTTTCATTGTTACGTTTCAACATTTAAAAGCATACCTTTTTCATGCCT